TGCAAAATCCAAAGTGGAAATATAGCAGAGTCATTTGGATGGAATAGGATAGAGCTCCTCCCCACCCACCCAGAAGGTGGGGGCAAGTCAGTCAGATTTCTAATGTGGATACACAGATCTTAAACAAACACGTGAAAACTATTCAGCATCATTAGTCATTAGAGAAATACAGACTAGGACCACAAGAGATTAAACACCTACTAAAATGTCTAAAATTTAAAAGACCGATAATACCAAGGGCTGGTGAAGATATGAAGCAACTGGAACTCTCACATATTGCTGATGGGAATGCAAAATGGTACATTTACTTTGGAAAACAGTTTAGCAGCTTCTTATAAAGTTAAACATCCACCTGCCACATGACCCAGCATGTCCACTTGTAGGTACTAATCCAAGAGACACCAAAACATATGTTCCCACAAAGACTTGTAGTAAATGTTAACAGCAGTTTTAATCATGATATCCCCAAACTGGAAACAACTCAAAGGTCCATCAGCTGGCAAATAAATAAACAAGTTTTGGTATATCCATACATTGAAATAATAGCAACAACAAGGAAGAAGCTAGTAATACATTCAACAAGATGATGAATCTCAAAACCATTATGCAAAGTGAAAGCAGCCAGACAAAAGGCTGTACCATTTATATGACAGGCTGGAAAAGGCAAAAGTATAGTAACAGAACAGGGGCTGGGGCTGTTCCTGCTAACTCACTGAACTGAACACTTAGACAGGGTCAATTTTACTGTCTGTAAACTATAACTTAATTAACCTGACATAAGAAAAGCGAGCTCCCTCGATGACTCTAATATTCTGTGTGGGCTGAACTATGCGTTCAAATTTTAGAACACTGAAATCGCCTGGAGGTTTGGGGATAGGTTTTTTCCTTTTTTTTTTTTTTTTTTTTTGTGCCTCAAGTGTTTACTGACACCAACCAAATCTCCGATTCTGTGATTCTCTTACACCAACTGGGTATCCAGCAATTCAATGCAGTTACAATACTATCTGTACTTAGCGTAGACCCCACAGGTTAAAGGCTCAGTCCCACAGGACTGCCCAAACTTCAGATGCCAGCTGCACATGGGGTGCCCAGGCTACTCTCCTTTCTACCCAGCCAACCACAAACTTGAGAGTTCCTAGGTCACCGCCCTCAGGTTTGATAATTTGCTAGAATGACTCCCAGAACTCAGGAAAGTACTACTATTTCCAGGGCATTATAAAAGATACAACTCAGGAACAGACAAATGGAAGAGATGCACAGGGCAGCGTGAGGAGAGGGGCACAGAGCTTCCATGTCTGCTCCAGCGCACCACTGCCCCCCACCTCCATGTTCTGGAAGTTCTCTGAACCTTATTGTTTGGTGGTTTTTATATCAGTTTTCATTACATAGGCATGATTGATTAAATCATTGTCCATTGGTAATAAACTGAATTTCTAGCCCCTTTCCTCTCCCTACAGGTGGTGGGGAGGGTGGGCCAAAAGTTCCAACCCTCTAATCACATGGTTGGTTCGTCTGCCTGCCAACCCCCATCCTAAGGCTATCTCAGGGCCTGCCAATAGCCACCTAATTGCCACAAACTCAGATATGGTTAAAAGGGGCTCATTGTGAATAATGAGACACTCGCATCACTCGGAGAATTCCAAGGGTTTTAGGAGCTCTGTACTAGGAACCTAGGACAAATACCAAATATAGTTATCTCTCGGTATCCTCAGGGGATTGGTTCCAGCCCCTCCCCCAAAACCCCAGTGGACACCAAAATCTGAGAATGCTCAAGTCTCTTATATAAAAGAACAGTGTTTGCATATGAACTATACACACTCTGCTGTTTACTGTACTTTAAATCATCTTTAAATTACAATATAAATTCTATGTAAATAGTTGTTATGCTGTATTTTTAGAATGTATATTTTTTAACTGTTGTATTGTTATTTTGGTGGATTATTTTCCCCTCAAATTAAGGCCAGGGCTGAGCCCTTCTGTTGGAGAAGCAGAATCTTTTCTTCCTGGGCCTCTGCTGGTTGGGTGGATGGGTTCGAGCAGCACTATTGATGGGTTTGTTACAGGTCTCCTGCATTCTGCTGCTAGGAGATCCTTGTGCTGCTTGGCCTGTGTAGCTCCTTCATTCAGTTTCTCAGCATTAAACATCCTGTTTTGGTCAGCATTACGTTGCATTTTCCATTCAACTCTATTTTACTTTGACTTTTGATTAATTTGTGTGTGTGTGTGTGTTGTCATTTATCACCTGAATACTGCCTTACTGTTTCACAAGTCTTTCTTTCCAGACCCACACCCAGTCAGATCTGCAATAGCTCGCCTTTCCTCAGACACTCCAGGAATGGTTCCACAAGTTTCCTGCATCTATGAGTTCAGCTCCCTGAATCAGATCAGGCTGAACACATCCAAATCCACTCCAACTTTTGAGGAATGGGTGCCTGTGTGGTAACAAAAGCGAGTTTAGAAACCCTCACTGGCCCTGCTTTTGTCTCCTTTTCCACATTGGCCCACTGCCTTCACCCCACCCACCAGCTGCCCAGATCCCCCTGGGATTGGACAACACGGCATGAATGTCTCAATCCAGCGGAAGCTTGAATGTCCTGGAGCTCCCACCCTTTCCCTGGCTTTGATTGGCCCTGAAAAGGATGGTAGCCAAAGAGGTTGAAGTAAGAAATATGTTTAGGGAAGGGAAAACTTGAGGTAGTCTAGTGAAGTGATTAACAGCATTTGCTTAGGAGTCAGATGGCCCTGGGTTTGAATTCTGATTTGTCTTTTGCTAGTTATATGATTTGGGGCAAGTACATGCCTGTTTCTACTGATGATACCAACTTCCTATAGAGTCAGCACAGTACAATAGTCAGACACATGGATTCTGGTTCCACACTGGCTGGATTTGAATGCTGGCTTGTCATTTAGTAGCTGCAGCCTCGACCTCCTGGGCTCAAGCAAGCCTCCCTCCTCAGCCTCCTGAGTAGCTGGGACTACAGGTGCACACCTCAATGCCCAGCTAGATTTTTATTTCTGTAGAGATGGAGTCTCATGAGCAAATGACTTAACCACTGTGTCCTAAGCAGGGGTGATAACAGTAGATGCTTCATGTGAAATAGTGATATTTCTTATTTGAGACTTCTGAATATTTGTTTAACTATCAAACGAGACCAAAATCAAATTAAAGAATGAAGTGATTCCTGATCTCTAAACATTGGAATCTGTAAAACGCTACAAGGCAGGATCTTGATGACATTTTATCAGCCCTCTATGTGCGCATGAGTGTATTTGTAATTCAAAACACATTTAATTGTAGACAACAGAAAATATAGTAATTATAGGTGCTTTTAATTTTCTCCCAAGAAATTATTTAATAACATAAAAATAAAATTAAAAAGAAAAAGAAAAGTGAAAGACGGAGTCAGAGATAGCTTAAAACCTGGGTGACCTGGGAGCAGATCCCCCAAAGCAGTTGGTAAGCAGTAGGGAGGTGGGGTGGGGAGAGGAACACACAGTGGAGCTCAGTGGTGTGGTGGGTAGGATTTCCAGGATGATGCCAGGGCAGATGGGGACTAGAGTTCAAGTGTCTTCTTTGTCTGTTGATCAAACTCAATGCAAAACTGTCAAATGAAACATTAATGACTTTAAGAGTCAATATGACACAGTGAAAATGGGTTTGATAAATGTTTGAAGTCTGGAAGAAATCACAGTTAGTATGTGGTAGGTAACATTAGGGGGAAGAGGCTCTCATAGCCAAATATTTCCCACTGTGTTAATATCAGGAATAACTTCACTCACCTTTTACCAAATGATTTTAGATCATGTGTAAAAGGCAAATGAAATACAAAGAAAAATTAACCTCATAAAATCCTACTTTAAGAATCAGAGAAAGTCTACATTTGGGTAGATGCTGTCTTAAGAATGAATTACTCATGACCTGGGCAACATGGTGAAACTCCATCTCTACAAAAAAATACAAAAATTAGCTGGGTGTGGTGGTGTGTGCCTATAGTCCCAACTACTGGGGAGGCTGAGGGGGAGGACTGCTCGAGCCCAGGAGGTTGAGGCTTCAGTGAGCTGTGATTGTGCCGCTGCACTCCAGCCTGAATGAGACAGTGAGACTGTCTCAAAAAACAAAAAGAAGAAGAAGAGGAAGAGGAAGAAGAAGAAGAAGAAGAAGAAGAAGAAGAAGAAGAAGAAGAAGAAGAAGAAGAAGAAAAATTGCACATAATTAAGTAAAATGTTTGCTCAACTTTATTGAATGTCATTAGATTTATAGGAATCATTAAAGAATTTGATACCAGAGTCCCCTCCCGCCCCCACAAAAAAAAAGTCAGTGTAAAAGACGCGAGTGAAAGAAGTTTGTCAAGGCAAATGTGTGAAAGAATACATGTGTACATCACCCTTTAAATGCTTTTCCTGAGTATTCTATGAAGTCTGGGGATCTTTGAATGCTATTAATCTTAGACAGCAAATTTTATAAAGAAACTCTTTAAAAGTAGGACTTAATTCTCCTCCATGGTGAGTTTTTAAGCGGAGGATACGTGGATTCCTTTGCCTCTTGACAGGCTCAAGTTCCATCCACCTCCCAGGCAGCTTTTTGAGTCTTTCATGGAAGCCTGCTTTTAATATATGCCATAATTTTCTTCTTAATTCAAGCCACATGTTCAAATTTGAGGCTTAAATTCTCATTCCATTATTTTCTAAGAAATGTTAAACATTAAACAACAAGTATATTATCAAAATACTCCTATATTATTTATAACTGAATAACTGTTTTCAAAGAAACTGTCCTCCCTAATGAATAAGAATGCAAACTCCACGTGTATCTAGGGTTCTGTGAGTGAAGAAGCTTGAGTTCGCCCCATCAGCTTCTGCAAGGTTATTTTTACGTATAGTCTCATGCTTATTTGTATGGGGAAATTCTTTTTCCTGGAAAAGGTTTAACTAAGCACAAAACTAAAACCCGGAGCAAAGATAAGGGAAGAATGCAGGTGTTCTTAGCAGTAATATCAGCATCAGGGAATCTTTCTCTTAAACACTGGAACTGGTGGAGTTGAAGAACTTTTCCTGTGAAGCAGAAACAAAAACGAAATTGTCATGTTTAGAGAAACACAAGAAACTGTGGCTTTCCTCTGGAGATAGCAGGCAAGGACTGTCATGTATACTGGCTTCTAGTTTGGTTTACTCAGTTGCTGGAATGCGCTACCCCTACTCCATCTGATAAGCAATAATGGTGAAAAACACACATTTGTCTTAGGAACTTCTCATAAATTCAAATTGGTCCCTATTTTGACTGCTCAGGAAAGGGAAACTCTTCAGTACAAGTTGGAATCTGAAACCCCTTGTTATGCCTGACTTACTTTCTCAACATTTCCATTATTCTCTGTATCCATTCAGCTTGAGGGTTCACACACACAACTGACTTGTTCTTCTTCCAGACTCTGGGGGAAAATAAAAATTAAATAATTCAGTGTTACATTTTAGTCAATCCTATACTCTTAATAAAGAAAAGAGTTGGGTATGAAACTAATTATTCCTAGATGAAGTGAAATTGGAGCTGGGCAGTTTTGGATCTGGAATAGGTGATTTGTAGCATGGGGTCACAGGAATAAGAAAACAACCATTTGTGGCCCAGTATGTGTGAGCTGGTGGGGTTGAATCCAAAGCTGAGACGGCCTCACATGTCAGAAGTTAGTGTTTTGTTGATAACCTTTACGTGTGTTGGAGAACAACCAAATAACTGACTCCAAGATTGGCTCACTTCTCAAGTTATATCACAATATCTTTAAAATGTGCTTATCTGTTGCATTGCATTTGGGAGAACAAAATAAGCTATAGAAAATACTCTCTTGAGAACTTGAATTTCACTGAAAAAAAAAATTCAGTACAATTTCACATGGGGGGCATGCTGCAGAGCAGATTGCTTGGAGTGACATCTGCATTTTGTCGAATTACCACTTAGCAAGATTTTTCCTGCTCTAAGATACTAAGCAACAGCAAAAGTGGCAATGATAATTAATAGCTAATATTTATCAGGTACTTAAACACACCAGGCCCTATGTTTAGCAGGTAACATGGATTGTTTCAATTCATCTCACAAAAATCCTTTGCTGGAGAAACTATTATTTCCTTACCTTCTGATGATGAACCTAGGCTTAGCAAATTTAAATAACTTGTTCAAGATTGCACAACAAATACGTGATACAGCAGGATTCAAATGAAGATTATCTGACTCCACAACCCACACTTTTCTTCACTGTTTTTCATGAGCATGACCTGAGCGTTTACCAAGTTCCAGACATAGTGTTAAATGCTTTTATCTGCAGTGGAAAAGTGAGGTCTCCCAGATAGCAGAAAACTGGGAGACTCTACCCTTTATTGGTGTGAACTCAAACAAAACACAATTCCCTTATATGTCATTTGTCTTAGTTATAAAGTGACAAACAGCCAGCAGCATGGTAGCTCATGCCTGTAATCCCAGCACTTTGGGAAGCTGAGGTAGGCAGATTGCTTGAGGCCAGGAGTTCGAGACTAGCCTGGATAACTTAATGAGACCCCAGCTCTACAAAAATTTGAAAAAAAAAGCTAGCTGGGCATGGTGGTGTGCACCTGTAGTCCCAGTTACTCGGGAGGCTGAGGAGGGAGGCTTGCTTGAACCCAGGAGGTTGAGGCTGCAGTGAGCCATGATTGTGCTACTGCACTAAAGCCTGGGCAGCAGAGTGAGATCCTGTCTCAAAAAAAAAAAAAAAAAAAAAAAAAAAAAAAACCTCCAAAACCAAAAAATAAAACAAACCACAAAAACCCCAAAACAAAAAAGACAAACAGCAAGGATCCATCCATCTAATTTTGAAACTGCACCTTTGCACGTAAATCTTAGAGACGTCAGAGGGCGTGGAACAGTTGGGTTTTCAGGCAGATACTTCCAGTTGGTTTCTGAGTTCATGATGGAAAGACAGATTTCTGACCATCTGGACTCACAGTATTTTCACCTCTGATTGGCATGAATTTCTCATAATAATCTGAAACTTTCATTTCTGTATCTGGTTAATATTCATAAATGCAGAATTTGATGAAAAGATATGAAATCAGATTTTTGTCATTTCAAAACAATCAACGTTAAAGCAGAGAAAATTAAGGTGCATTACCTTCCTTGGCTGACAGGCAAGAGACTTGAGTCATGACAGAGGAAATGGAATCAAAAGAAAGGGGTCCCAGTTTTCTAAACAGCCAGGGGAACTGCTCCCAAATAAGTCATGGCTAGACTTCACATCTCTGAGTTTGATGGCAATAATTGTAGTTTAGTTAGACATTATTGTTAAAGACATTAGTGAAATGCCTTTTTAGTGAAAACTATAATGCCTTTTTAGTGAAAAATTACCATAAGCTTTTGATATCCCATATTTCAACTGGTCCAAGGCCCCAAGCACTGGTAACAAAATGTGACAAACAGGAAGTAGCTGCTTACAAACATTGCAAAAATCTAAAGAAGTCCATGGGAAGAGCCACTAATGAATGCCAAGTCAGGGATGCCCTGAGAAGGATGCTGTGCCTAATACTTCAAGGTGTCGCAAAGAAGAGGCTTTGGAATGGGGAAAATGTGAATGGAGTCCTGGCTAATGCACTTTCTAATCCTTTCTGACGGTGTGTCTCAGGCAGTTGGTTAACCTTCCTAAGCCTCAGGCTGTAAGGAACAATAGGCTTACCTTAATAAAGTGGTTGAATAAATAAAATCAGTATGTTCATGTAAAGCACTTAGCTCGGGGCTGCTGCAAGCTAAGCTCTTCGTTACTAACAATTCTCATTATTAGTTTGAGAATTTTTAGCAACACTCAAGTAAATCTCTTCTACATTCTTGAGTAAGACTACTGTATGGTAACATTTAATCTGATTTCATTGGGAGAAAGAAATCTTATTTATTTTTTTCTTGAAACTTACATGATTTCTTTCCTTGGACAACCATTCCCACGAGGCGAGATTTGAATTCGATCAATGAAGCGTCTGGGGATAAAGACTGAGCTCTCTTGGACACATCTACACCTCAAGTGTGTGTAATAGACCTCTAGAACACCTGTAAACACAGAATCAATTATTTTAATCCATTGGCATATAATTCATAACTAGAATTTAATTACTAATCTTGCATACTGTACGTTTGAAGATTTAAAAGTTTCAAGTCAGTGCTTCCACTCATATGTCTTTAGTTTGTATATTTCTGCTTGCCTTGGCTTGAGTATTTTTAAATGTTTTCTACCAATGTGTAGAAACTTTAAAAATAAAATTAGCTTTTAGGCCAGGCACGGTAACTTACACCTGTAATCCCAGCACTTTGGGAGGCCAAGGTGGGAGGATTGCTTGAATCCAGGAGTTTGAGACCAGCCTGGGCAACAAAGGGAGACCCCATTTCAAAAACCAAACAAACAAAGCAAAGGAAAACAAAACAAAAATTAGCTTTTAGAAAAACACAGCATTCTTTGACATTTGTGATAGTGTTATGTTTGTACTCAGGTGATTGTCCACGTAATAACATTTGAGAACAGCCTCTGTAGGGACTTACAACGCAGTTATAATTAATGCAGTATAAAACCAATGGATTATCATCACTCCCACCACATAAAAACCGAGGACATGACCTGGCTCTAGAGTCCTGGGAGCAATAACATGCTGGAACAGAGTTTTCTCTATCAGACTCTCTGCCACCCTCCCCTTTCCTCTCAGAAAATGTCACAAACGTTTTTGTTTAATATGTTGGTCCTCTGTCTAGGTTGCAAATCATTACCAAACAAAAGGCAATCGTAAAAATTCAAAACTCTTTTTATTTAATAAAAGTGATTAATGCTGGGTGGGTACCATTAGTACCCATCTCATGAATTTTAATGGGATCTAATGAAATCTAAGGAAAAGACATTTATCAGATCTTTTCTATCCAGCCTACTACTGTGCTTGACATACATTTATAAATAAAAAGGCTCAACTCTCAAGATGTGTATAATTTAGTAGGGGAAACAAGCAAACAAAAGCTAAAATACCACAGAAAGTTGTATTACGCTCAACATCTAATGTGTGTGCTGAGAACAGAAGATGTAGTAAGAGTTACCTCTGCCGGGAGCCATGGGAAAGCCCCATGGAGAAAGCAAGAAATTAGGGTTTTGAAGAGTGAAAATAACATGTGAAGCAAAATTAAAACTGGGGGAGAAACCTCCTCTGTGTTTTAAGAACAAAAATTTGGTCTTCTAAATCTGAACAGAAGGCTTCTTTCTGCACATATATCCATTCCTTCAGCCACATAAAACTTACTACTTCAACTGGATATTTATCTATTTACACAGATAGCTGCCCCACTTAGACATGGAAGTCTGCTTCTTTGCAGAATGTGTGTAAATACTCCTGGTGTACTCACAATGGTGTACTCGATGCCAGATCTAACCACCTGGAATTACATGAAGCATGTTCACTGCAAGAGACCAGTAGAGTTCAATAATCTTTAAACCCTATATAGGGTTTGGTCAGAGTGGGTAACATTGAGAGGCAGAACAAATAAGAGCTACATGTAAAGAATTATATATAGCAGGAGTGGAATCTGAAAAAGGCCGGGAATATACAAGCCTAATATAATTCACGTGAATATTGGACTTCTGGTATCTCTTTTTTCTATAAATAAAAATCTTAACAATATAAAGACTTCCAATTTTGAAGAGTTAAATTCCTAAACACCTTACTTTGAGAAATCTAGAAGCAACAGAGCTGTTTTTTCCCCCTTTAGTCAGACTTCCCTGCAGTTTTTAATTGAAAGAAAATTGAAGTGGTTAAAGACTATTTCTGTTCAACAAACAGTGAAACATAAGTGAAAGATCTCACCTTGGACTGGAGAGAGGCTGCTGACCAGCAGCATGAGAAGCAGAGATGCCGAGATGAACTTCATTCTGTCTGGAGGTAGAGTTCAGATTTGAGCTCTGAGTCCAGGCTGTGGGTTTTCAGTACCAGAGACTCCTATTTATTTATACCAGTAAGGGCCCTCCCACTGCCTTTGTCTCCAGTAGGTCAGCTGCATCATCAGCTTTAAAAGCCCCCAAATATTGCTGAGCTTGCTTTTTTAAAACTTCTCTTGCAAACTTTATAAATTTGTTTCAGAGCACTATAATAAAATAGTTCTTGCAAACGTGGACTACAAGTGCCAGAGATGCTGGAGAAATCTGAGGGTGGGAGAAAGGAAAATCTATCAGCTTGGAAGCTCCGAAGCACTGTCTTTAGTAGCGCTATTGGTGATGGTGGCTTTGATTGCTTCTCTCAGTGCAGGGTGAGCCAGGTTTCTCCACGGCATTAGATATATACTCCATGACATTGGGGACTCCATTGAGCACATCACATCCCTAGCATGTGGAAGGGATTCCGGCCTTCGGTAGGTGCTCAGTAAATATTTGCACACCAAATGAATGTCTCTTTATATACAGATCCTAACGCTGATTATGCTATTGATTTTCCTACCAGTCTTTTCCATCTCTTATTTTACTATGTGAAATATATGATTACTTGTGTAATCTGACCATCATGGAATTCTTAGAAGGGGGCAGTAGGCGTCCCCTGCTTTGTGTGCCTGTGTCTGCACGAAGGGAGGGAGACAACAGCCTTGAGGAAGAGAATCTCTCTGGCTGTCGTGTGTAAGTCCGTGAGCTTGAGAACCATGTGGCAGGGGAGGGAGTTATTAGAACTACATTAGAGGGTGAACCCCATATTACAGTCTGTTTGATATAAATATATGTGAAGTTTAGTTTTGATCCCACCAACTAGTCCATGGGGACAATAGCCCACAGCCTATCCCATTTTCTAGGAGCTCTTTGATTAAAAAAAAAAAAAGAAAAAGTACGGAGAAAGTGGCTAGTCTGGCCTCGAGTACCACTAAACTGCCCTGGAAGTGGACAAGGATGATGTATCAAACCAGACCCACTGAACTGCTAAGAAATCAGAGGTGTGGGCTTCCTGGAGTGATTTCCTAAACAATTTGGTTTTTGCTAATCAATTAGTATTGTGGATGTTTAGCATCCCAGGTGCCTCAGTATGCATGGGGGTGGAAGTAGAGGAGTGGTAATGCCACACAACTTTCACACAAAAGCAGTTCTCCAGTTGGCCTGCACGCAGTGATAGGGCACTCATTGATCTTGAGGCAGCCCATTCCATTGTTTGGCAGTTGTAGTTGCCAGGATGTTCTTCCTTATGTATATGTGAAAGCTGCTTCCCTAGTAGTTTGCTTATGCTTGTGTTGTGATAAGGGGTTGAATTTTGTCCTAATTCAACCCCTTATCACAACACAAAGCAATTCTAAACAGTCTTCTATATGATGGCAAACCAAATATATGAAGGCAGAGTGTGCCAGTTGCGTCCTCTGCAAAGAAGATGCTGAGATGGACATTGGAGTAAAAGAAGGTTATTCAGAACAACTCCTGCGATAGACAGAAGGAGGAAGGAGGCAGAACTGGGCAGGGGGAGCCTCAGATTGCAATGCTGATCTGGTGAAGTCTACAACAACTCAGTGGGGAGCTCCAGAAGAAAGACTGTTTATTAGAGGGGCCCACAGTGGGCAGAAATGTTCAGACTCTGCTACCCCTGCCGTGCTTGGTCCTTAGCTGGGCCTCCTCAGATACAACACGCTCTCTGGTTGAAAGCTGAAGCAGAACCTGAGGAAGTTATCAGTAGAGGCTGTCAGCTAACTGCACTCCTTGCCGCTGGCCAGCAAGTTATTTCTTTAAGAGAGAGTTGAGTAGGGCACCTTCGAGTGTCACTCAGGGTTATAAACTAGAGGTTAACAGCACAAAGTCTGAGCTCACCCTGGCAATGACTTTGGACAAGTCACTTAATTTCTCTATGCCTCATATTTACCACTTTCCACATGAGGATAATAGGAATTCCAAAGGATTGTTTGGAGAAGAAAGCACCTGGTATATTTAGAGGGTTCAGCTGAATACTGGCATGTAGAATGTATTCAATAAATAGCCTGCCTGTCTATCTGACTATGTAATCTGTTCGGGGGAAAAAACTGCTCATCGCTTCTAGATTTCTCAAAGTAAGGTGTTTAGGAATTTAACTTTTCAATACATCCACTCCCCCATCTATCCATCCGTCCGTCCGTCCATCCATCCATCCATCCATCCATCCATCCATCCAAGATCTTACTAACTTCCACTCCAAAACCCACTTTGAAAGTAAATACTCCTATTTCTTTGAATTTGTAACAGTTTGAAACTCTCTCACCATCTTGGTTTACCCTTTTGAAACCTGTTGATCTTTTCCATTGTTCCTCATAAGTTATAACTACCTTCCCTTTTGCCTCCCCATCACCCTCTCTGACTCACAGCCACAGACATGCATACACTTACATGCACACATCCGAACATTATGTTACCTCAAGTATGGCTTTGCCAGTATGAGCTAGAGGAAACCCATTACCTCCTTTGTTCTAGCACTATTCTATTAATAGATTCCTAGACTGAATAACATTATTCTAGTCATTTATATTGAGTTGGTAGGCAATAACATTCCTGTTTTCGAAAATGGTCAATTTCTTACAGTGTCTAATTCATTTTACTCTTGTGTGATATAATCTTGAGACCCAAGTATAGAACTTTTACATTTGCCTCTAAGTACTATATATTTTCTTGTGAGAGCAAAAAAATGAGTGAAGCTGACAAGAACTGGAAGAGTATAGGGACAAAGTTACCTGAAAGAGAGCTCTGAATATACCTAGGAAACTCCTAAATTGGCTGCTATTAAAAATAGGACCACGAGGTCAAGGAACTAATTGCAGAACAATTCTAAAATCTGACTTTCGTTTGTTTAATGCCCAGAGTTCTGGATTTAGCTTATTTAGATCTAAGAAGCCTTATTCATGTCTGCCCCAAGATGGGGCTGGAGGTTGGGCAGCTCTCAGATAGTCAGATGATTCTAGAAGTTGCAAGTCCAACACTACTTGATATCATCTTATGGTAGGGGTATACATTTCAAAACCTCTGATGCCAAGAAGAAAAAATATTTAAACAAATAGATTTAAAACTCAAATGGAAGCAATTTATTTTTAAAATAGCTTTTATAGATATCCTTGTTTAGAAACATAAAAATATATAACTTGGTTTATATCAAACCTGATTTTTATCATCAGATACATAAAATGATAAAATTATAGGGAAGATTTTTTTGCTTCACTTTGGAATCAAATCAAATTTTCTTTCCAGATCCAAGAACAACTGGGTAATTTAGAACCTTGGTACTTATATTGCGATCCAAGGACTGGCATCACTAACTCCACCCGAGAGCTAGTTTAAAATGTAGAATCTCAGGCCCTGCATTCAACAAGATTCTCAGGAGGTTTGAATGCATGGGCCTGGTCTAACATAAGCTGCATAGTTTGCTGTGACATGCTGTTTCTATATAAAGACATGCACATTCAAATTATCTTCAGAGATATGTTTGGACAAGTCATTTCCTCAGAAAATGATGCACAGATACCTTATTTTAGTAAAAGTGGACAGGACAAATCCACTCTAGATGTCAGTACTCACTGACATCTAAATGCAGAGCAGTGACAAGAAGGAAACTCTCTCTCAAGATATCAAAAAGTAAAATGTCACTAAAACAGTGAGATGGCATAATTGGCCAAAGTATCTGACAATCTAAATAGTCAACAGGTATTAAACGAGAGTTAACGGTAGAGTTTCATGGTGATTACATAGTTTGTAGTAAGAGATAAGACAAATGTCACTGTGATACAATTGAGAACATTTTCTTTCAAGTCACTCAACTAGAAAACAGAAACTTATTGTATCTTGTTAACAGGTATTTTAACCTGCTGAACATCTGACATCTATTTGCTCCCACATAACTTTCAGCACAATAGAAAAGTATTATAACCATGGAGGTGAGAGCTCAGGCTCTGAAATCAGACTGGCTGGGTTTGTATCCCGACTCCAACACTTATTTGCCTTGTTAACTTCTCCAAGCCACTAGTATCAGTAACACCATCTCAGGGGATTGTGTAGGTTACGTAACAGTGCTTGGAAAGTGTTTTATTCAGTGTTAGGCAAATAGCAAACACTTCAATAAATGTTAGCTGTTTCTTTTAACCTTTGTGAAAACACAAAAATGTGAAGTACATGAAAAAGTAACTTTGCTCAGCTTGCAAGTGAAGTTCCTGACGTGAATTAAAATGTCACTTAGGTTTCCAGTAGGCACATAGGTGATATCTTGAGATTATGACTCCAGAGTCCTCTGGTTAAAGAGCTGTTCTTCTTTGACACTGATCATCCACACTTTGTTTTTACCTACTCTCCTCACAAGATACTTGTAGAGGTTTGTATTTTGTACAAATGTACTGAAGTGTTACACAGCGGGTGTTTTATTTTTTGTCATCATTTTCTTTTTATTTCACTATTTTTAAAACAGCTTTATTGAGGAATAATTGATGTAAAAAGAACTGCACATATTCAGTGTGTGCAGTTGGATGAGTTTGGACAATGCAAACCCTGTTCATTTTGCCATCATTTGCATCTTGAGGGAGCGGCTTTCAACAGCCTATTTTTTGCCACACCGTGATTTCAAGACCTATACCTGCAGAAAAGACATTTTTCAAAGGTAATTAAATTCATATTTCAAGTGTTGTTTAAACCCAACTTAAATGCAGGGAATCCACCTGCGTTAAACGCAGGGAAACCACCACAAACCTAGAACGTGTGTACTGAAAGCTATTACCTGTTAGGGTGGTGATTACCCAAGAGACTGCTAGATGGCAGCATTACTTACAGAAACAGTTCGCAGGAAGGAAAAGGTCTGTCCTGAGGTAAAGAAGACCCTGCCTGTGTGCCGAGCAGAAGGGGTGTGTTGCATTGTTTCAAATTTCAAACCATTTATTTGGTTGGGCTTATTGCTTTAAAAATA